AGAAAGAAAGAAAGAAAGAAAGAAAGAAAGAAAGAAAGAAAGAAAGAAAGAAAGAAAGAAAGAAAGAAAACACATAGCTAGCAAGCCATTCCCACCAGGTCACATGACCGGCAAGCCACTCCCACAAAGGAGGCCACACCCACAGAGTAGGTTCCAAATTGTTTTGCAATCCACCACTGGTTGGCTGAGAGAAAGGGACTAGCCCAGCATCTCCCAGTGAACTTCCATGGTTGAACATAAGTTAGAATTGGAGCTTCCCCATTCCTAGGTTACATCCACCCAACTGCTTCATTGTGCTATCCTTCCATCTTGGAATTGACAAACAATAGTGGCACCCTAAATCTCGCTGCCCTCACAATGTGCATCCTCCATTTGGCTAAAGTTTAATATTTTTGACACATAATTTTTAGAGAAGATGTCGATGCTTGGAAAGATTAAAGGCAATAGAGTAAGCAGTTTAACACAAGACAAAGAAGAACAGTACATAACGATAGCCTCTCCATAATCATATAATCCATAGACTGAGAAGAGATTAATTTACTTCTTTGTGCATCACTCTGTGATAAAATGTACCAGAGAACAAGCGATCAACAATAAAAGGTTTTAAATCTCATTAGCATTGTAATCCAGAACTTGGCTATCACTAACTGCATTTGTATTTTTGCCAAGAAAAATGGATCATTGTATCCAGCAGGTGTTAGCATTAACTGATAAATCTAAAGCCAAATTAAGTGGAAGTTGTGAAATATATTTCCTGATTGATCACATGTGAGCTATAATTTTTTATCCATATGAATTTCAAAAGAGACCCAGTCCCACACTATTCATATTACCAAAAGGGCAACTGAAAACATTCAGCTACCAACTATGGAGCAGAGCTAGTTTGGTGTAGCAGTTAAGGCAGTGGGCTAGAAACTAAGATTGATACTCGTACTTTAGGCCCAAAACCAGCTGGATGACTTTGGGTCATTCACTCTCTTTCAGCCCTAGAAAGCAGGCAATGGCAAATCACTTTGGAGAATGTTGCCAAGGAAAATGCTTGGACTAGTTCATGTAGTCGCCAAGAGTGAACAATGACCCCAAGGAACAACAAGAACAAGGTGAAAAAACCCCACTATGGACAGCAAATGCCTTTAAGTTAGGGCCAGCCAGCTTGTTTGCATAGGAGGCCAATAAATAAATGAATAAAATCACACATTGGCAGCCCACCACATCTAACAATCAAAATGCAGATTGTGTGACAATGTGAGCAAACTGATTCAGTGAGAGCTGCAACCTCATTTGTTGAGTGACTCAATTTTAATGCTCATGAAATCCAGCCCTGATGGTGTCTCCTTGATTGCCTTCATAATTCTTCTCATTCTTGGCCCATTCTAGGTCCAGGGTTGGCTTTTGTAGTGTATCCACAAGCCATGACAATGCTTCCTCTTTCTCCTTTCTGGTCTTTCCTCTTTTTCTTCATGCTGTTGACTCTTGGCTTGGACAGTCAGGTAAGGGGAAAGCCTGCTGAGAGGAAAGGGTTTAACCATGGTCCTTCAAATGAATAGACCTTAAAGTTGATGAGATTGTATGATTTTGTGTTCAGTTTGCCTTTCTAGAAACCATTGTTACTGCCGTGACAGATGAGTTCCCTTATTACCTGCGGCCGAAGAAGGCTTTTTTCTCAGGCATCATTTGTGCTGCGATGTTTCTAATGGGGCTCATTCTCACAACAGAGGTAAGCAAAGTAGATTGGAAGAGATTGAAATAGCTGGGGCTTTAGACAATAATCTAGGGCGTAGTTACAAGTAAAACCTGTACTGTATTATAATAAAGGGGCAAAAGAGCAAGGAATGAAGAAGATTGCACACAGTATCTAGTAAATTATGTGACACAAGTACAATAGAAAATAATCAAAGCAAAAGATGTGGCTTATCTGTCTACCCAACTAATAGGCTGATTTCTATCAACAGTTAATTGCAGCTAATTAATCCCCTACATTCAAAATCTGAGCAATGTTTTATCAGTTTCTTAGGACCAGCTCTTTGGAATTTCAGCATATTCTGACATTTATTCCTTTTGAATGTTTAGGTAATGAAACCTAGCCTATAGCTATGCTATTTTGTCCCAAACAGCTTTATTCAGAAACAAAGATTATATACCATTTAATATGTTTTTAAATGCAGCTCTAACAAAATGGAGTTGAGAAGCTATTACTTCCAAATAAATAAATAAATAAACAAACAATTGTGGGGTTCTTGGTGCTCTCTAAGCTTGGTTGCTTTCTTGCACTGATGATGTTATCTAGTTGGGCGATGAAATGTCTGCAAGGCANTTTTAGGTCATATTTATGCAGAAATATTGAAAATTGAAAAGTGTTCATAAACTTTTGAGCACCACCATATGAGAATTGTAGTCTAAAATAATTGAAGGGCATCACATTTCCTACCCAAATCTTCATATATGGTTCATGATGTGGATGTGATATTTGCTGTGAAACCTATGAATCTATCCATATTATTACTACCTTTTATTTTCTAAATGCACAATATTTTAATAGAATTACAAAAATGAGACTGTATAGAAATCCATATAAGGTTAAAACAGCCAAAGTGGAAGAATGGAGATTTAGTTCAGCTTCATGAATCTATGTGGAGGCATTATTCATTTTATTCAAAATAAACTATCTTGTTAATAGGACTGGAAATTATTAAAGATCTTATTGACATTAAGCAGAGTGTATGCTAAACTCCATACAAATTAATGTAACATGCGAAATAGTTTTTGTGTGTCATTCAGCTATCAGGCACATAAATGTATTTTATCATGCACACGCATGACACATGCACTCATCACAAATTTATTATTTAAAATAATACGTATTCAAGAAATGAACATTGTATAAAGTGTTTCTTAATTTGTGGTAATATTGCAAATTCTTTATACAAAGAAATCTCTGTTCAAGGAAAAACCATCAAATCCCAAGTTAAACAAAAGCCTCAATTTAATAGGATGTATTTAATCAGATTAAATACATCTGATTTAATAGCTGTTTAACTATTGCTTCTCTGCATGGTGCACACATATGACTGGGGAAAATATATACACAGTACTGCTATATAAAGCAATCTCCACAAAATGTTATGTTTTTTGCTAGTTGGAAAGGCTTTTCAGGCTGATCTACTTTGTCACCTCATCATGAATTGTGGATAGAAATTCCGCCCACTGAAAGCTTTTCTTGGTTTTTTTTGAAGCCGATATGTCCTCCACATCCAAGGGAGCTCAGGCATTGGAGATCCTGGGAGAATTCGCTGGAATCTCTGCCTATGCCTCCTGCTAGCTTGGCTGATCGTGTATCTTTGCATTTTAAAGGGAGTCAAATCTTCTGGCAAGGTAAAGTATAAATTAGCAGAAGGCTCCCATCTGTTTTTTTCCCCACCCTCAAATGATTAAATAATTATATTTGACTTTTTGTAGATGTTGTAATTATGGTAGGAATTGGAAAATATGTTTGTCTATACTCTAGGGCAAGGATGAGTATCTTTGATGTTATTTTTTCCATGGGGTCAACTCCCCCTTCCGAGAATTCTTAGATCATCTATTGTGGCAAAAATATACACAAATCTGAGCTAAAATGAATTTTACATTTCTTCTATGCCAGATCCACTCCTGATTCTTTCAACTTTTCTTTATTTCAGCAATATAATTTTATAGTTGTGGAGGACTGAGAATTACCTATAGGTTCTGAGCATTTTTGCGAAATACTACAATACACCTAAAAATGCTGTCATAATACTTTGCAATACTAGATCAAATGGGTTTTAAAACACAGAAAAATATTTTACTTGATTATTAAATAAGATATGTTGATAGTCAGAAGTATTTGATAATAGGCATGACGAGCAGATCCACTAGAGTTCTTCAAACATAGGATGACACCTTCTTTTTCTTTTTTTTTTTTNCCCCTTCCCTTGTCTATTGTGAGCCGCCCGGAGTCCTTCGGGAGTGGGCGGCATACAAGACAAATAAATACAATACAATACAATACAATACAATATGTTGACTTTGTGAACTGCTTAGAGAGGGCTGTAAAATCCTATGGAGCGTTATATAAGTCTAAGTACTATTCATAGAAAGCATATCAAGATGGGTAAATTAGTACTAGTTGTTGGACTACCAACCTGTACAACTTAATCCGATAGGATAAACAGTAGAATTTAAAATGCTTCAATGAGATGACGATACAAGGGTTCTCAGAAAGACTCTTGTTGTCATGTAATATTTAATAGTGTCCATTCTTTTTTTCTTGACATGATTGTGGATGCTCCTTTGCAAGTCACTGTGCTCACACAGATTCTGGCACTGTGCTAAAGCTCTGTGTGGTTATGTCAGTTCACATAATCCACACTCCCACTTCAAAGCAGCTGGGCTGTGAGGACTGCCAAGTGCTTTCCATGGTACTGGAGGCCTTGGTGTAAAGGCTGTCAGATTTGTGAAGCAGACCAAGAGTCATATCTGAAATATATGAATTGACTTTATGGACAGAAGAAGTATTGGTGGGATATGAGAAAGGATATGAAATCCTACTTGAGAAGTCTGAGCTGTGATGGCTGATTTACACATGCAATTTACAATGTAGTGCAACATCAAAGGATGCATTTTTATTTATTATTACATTTCTTTGCTATCTATCTCACCTCACGATGCATACTAAGTAATATGAAAAGCTCTGGTTCAGTGAACTTATGAAATAAGGACTTGTATACCACATTCTACATTTTGTTAGATACTAAATATGTTAAAAGCTATAATCTCCTTGCTCTGAAATATGCCTTGCCCTCCCCCTTCTTTCATACAGACTCTTTCATTTCCTCTGCATTTCTCTATCTCTTCCTTATCAGCCAGTCATTCCAGACTTGTTAATGACTCCTAGTGACCAAGGAGATGGTGACCTAGAGACCGAATATCCTGAAGACAGGGGAAATTGGACAGGCAAGCTGGATTTCCTTTTGTCTTGTATTGGCTACTGCGTTGGATTGGGGAATGTTTGGAGATTTCCATATCGTGCCTATACAAATGGGGGAGGTGAGAACTTGACCGCCATTCTTCCTTGCCTTTGTGTGGAAGATTTCTATTTTTCTTATTGTTTTATAGTGAGTTTTTCATAGATGTATTGACAACTGGCAACAGTAAAAAATATCAGCATTTTTTTAAAAATAGGGCACCAGAGAAGAGAAATTTTATGTAAGTATTGTTGCTCCAGTTGAAGTGGAAACTGAGCAGTCCGCATTAAAACTTTAAAAAGAGTCTAAAGCACAAATAACAACTACCTTTTTACGATCCTGTAATCCCTGAATTCAGGGTAGAATCAGGGCAACTGGATGGAACTGAGTATTTACTGGACGGCCGCCCTTCCTGACACCATGCAAAGTTCACAGCAGATATTTTTTCTTTGCGTCTTAAGAGAGAAACATCTTCCACTACCGCTAACACTCAACCTTCCAAGTGGGAGGCGAGCTTCTTCACTACTCGGCCACTGCATCACTCTAAAGCACAAATAAACAAATAACATAAATAACAACTTGGAATCTTTCCATGCCATAACTCCAGTAATTAAACTCCTATAAAGTGGAATTTAATAAATGTAGTATCAAATGTTCTCTGATGCTATATAAGGCACAAATAACAGCATAATATCAAATATAACATCAGAGACACATTAGATTCTACATTTATTAAACTCCACTTTACAGGAGTTTAATTACAGAGGTAATGGCTTGGAAAGAGTCCAACTCATTATTATGTTATCAACAGCCACTATCACATCAACTAATACTATGAGATATACTGTTACAAATTCAATAGTTGCAAAAACCTCTTAGGGATAGGCATGTGCTTACTTAAGCTTAATGTACAGGTATCAGATAAAGTTAACGTATGAGGCAGTCTGTCTGCAAATTAGATAGTCCCGCATATACTGTATACTTGTTCCACTGAGCTTATCCACACTTCCACTATCCACTTCTAAAACTAGTAAGAATTGGGAGCAAGGAGCAAAGTTTAGAAAAAAAACCCATGAAGCATACAAATGATATGGAAGAATACTTTCTTGTATTCCATAACAATCACAGCATCAAAATGGTGATAGAAGGCTTACAGTAAAAGTAAACAGACATTCCAAGAATGAACATCCCATTTCTAAATTTTATGTATTATTTCTGCTCATTGCTGAGAGAAAGACTCTGGAGTCTATAGCGTGTCTATAGCGTGTATCACCTCTAGTAGTGTCTTTTCCTCCAATTTGTCACCTGCTGTTTGCTCACCCCAGCTCTTAAATAATTTAATACATTTCTTCAAGAGTTACTTGTCACTAGAGATGCTGCAGAAATCTGTCACTGGTTTCTGTTCAAATACAATGGCGCATAATTCATGGAGTCTGCAAATGTCTTATTTCAGAATATTTCTCAGTTGTAAATTTACGTACAAAAGTTCCTATCTTTGGAGAAGTGACCTTCAAAAGCAAGACTAATGAATGTGATATGGACACAACTGGATGTAGATTGATGTGTATATTCATGCTTTCAAATGTTGTCAACAAACAGTCAATTGATTTGGTCTCTGCTGATTATTAATTGATAAGGCTGCACTCTCCAGCATCTCTGGCATTACGTACCTGCATTCACCTATAATTTGCTAATGATTTTATCTCTCTTTCTCTTGTTCTTCTTTTTTAAATATGTGACAAGTGTTGCTTTCATCTGAACTGTGTAGCTGAAAGCTCCTGCTCCTCATCAAAATATTTCTGGGTCCATGTGAAATTCAGGAGATTTTTTTGGTAAATGAAAAAAACCTCTGAAGGCTTAGAAACCTGGAGAGAGTGAATTCTTATCCCTCCTTAGGCAGGAAAGTTGGCTAGGTGATTTTGAGTCTGCCGAACCCACCTCAGTGGGTTTTTGTGAGGAAAATAAGAGGAGGAAAGAGTATTAGATATAGTCACTGTCTTACATTATTTATAAAAATAATAAATGTGGGATATAAATATGTAAGTATAAATTGTGTGTGTGTACAACACAACCTTTCTTTTAAAACATTCTGGCCATCATAATATGTCACCTATTTACTGTGAAGCAGCTTCAGCATGACGCCAAGCTTCTTTGCCAACTATCATATGTATTCCCAAAAGCCATGCTGATGAATCAGTAGGTGGCTTCCTCGTTCTGAGTCAATGTGTTATTCAGCTTGCATGAATAAATTACACCAAAGGGCAACACACTGCTGGAAATGTTTTCTACTGGGGAACAATATCAGCAAAAGGAAGGGGAAAAAATTCTGATCTTCCAAGATTCAATCTTGGGAAATTTAATATATTCCTTCCAGGATGCAAATATGATTAAGAATTATTTTTTTTATTCCAACACAAATTAATTTGTTTTCCATTGACTTTATTAAAGTTATGTTTTCATTGCATTTTCCTGCAGTTCAGACAAATAAACACTGAGAACTTGTCATGGACAGAAAACGTTATAAATTTGCCAATAGTGAAAAATAATAGTTACATTTCAAATATGGAAAACACAAACAATCCTTTGGCATTTTGCAGTACATAAATATGTATAAAGAATAACTGTAATAGAATCATTGGCTAAAGGAGTATGGGGGGGGGAGTTAAGAAGCATGCTAGTATGGAGTTGCTTCATACTAGAGGAGGAAATGGAGGAAACATTGTAGACTTGACTCATGAAGTCTTGTTTTCTGATTCCTAAGGGAATGCAGCCAGTCTGGTGAGATTTATGTAATACAGGCAATCAACAATAAAGAGAAGGCTTGGCCCTATTTACAAAGTTGTTCTGGTTTCTTGCGCTTGATAATGATCAAGATCATTAAGCTGAGATTTAAGCAGGGTTGTTGATTTCATCAGTCCTGTGATCTTGTCAAATCATTTATAACAGGGTAGTAGGAATAAGTAATCTGAATGTTATAATAGATCTGTGTTTGATTTGCAGTAGATCAGCAAGTATTCTACCTTCGAATTGTTAAGGGATAGCAATGACAGAGAGTAACTTTCTCAAATTTGAATTCCATTGCTCGAATAAAGAGAGCTTTAAATAAATAGACGTAGATTCCAATATGGAATGACTGTGAACTCCACACACGCTTTTTCCCCCTTTGGTGCCTTTGAGTCAGCATTGACTGCCTGTGGCTGCTTAGACAAATCCTTGAAGTTTTCTTGGTAAGATTTCAAAAGTGTTTTGCCTTTGTTTGTTTCCTAAGGTTGCCAGGGAATAATAGAATAACAGAGTTGGAAGGGACCTTGGAGGTCTTCTAGTCCAACACCCTTTTAGGCAGGAGACCCTACACCATTTCAGACAAATGGTTATTCAATAGTTTCTTAAAAACTTCCAATGTTGGAGCATTCACAACTTCTGGAGGAAAATTGTTCCACTAATTAATTGTTCTAACTGTCAAGAAATGTCTCCTTGTTTCTAGGTTTAATCTCTCCTTGACCAATTTCCATCCATTGCTTCTTGTCCTCCCCTCAGCTGCTTTGGAGCGTAGGGAGCTTGACTCCCTCTTCTTTGTGGCAGCCCCTGAGATATTGGAACACTGCTATCATGTCTCCCCTACTCCTTCTTTTCATTAA